TGAATAACCAAGATGTGTAAGATCCGGGCATGATATTTAACTAGCAGCTTTTAAGTTTGTTTAAATAAATGGACTTAATCCATTTTTTCAAATGTCACTAGGATCACAGAGTCTAGAGTAGTATCATTTGGCTTGCAGCATACGATCAAGTATGGTCACATAATGACCTTAACTTATACTTTGAAGATGACATCGAAACTTTAAAGCAGATACAGATGATGTAGAGTAATGACATTTAGCGTGTAGTGTAAGCTTGCTAGCTATGTATACAGGTATGTCATACGACGTTAACCCTCACCCTCAACCATCTACTTACCCAAATGTCTTCTTTTCTTTTTTGAAATACAGCCTTGTCTTCTTCTCTTTTTTGAAATACAGCCTTATACACACTGTATTATACTATCCGATTCAGTACCTATACTTTGTTAATTACTTATGTTCACTATTCCTGTAGTTTCGCTTATTTTCCATGACATACTATATTATGCAACTAGAGTACATATTCCGTCCGCGGATAAGCCCTTTTACGACCATTTACATTCTGTATCATATAACTTCACATTATCATGTCTGGTGTTGTACTTAACATCAAATTATACATTTTTTTCCGGTGTTTCAATATTCTAATGATATCCTACATAAAACCTATACACAGTCTTGTCTGTCTAACTGTGTTATAAAATGATGGCAGAATATATGTTTTTTCTTTTTTTTTATCTATTTATTCAGGATGGCTAGTGAATATTTACCAAAGAAAAAATAATAGAATAGGATATCCTATATGGTAAGGAAGTTGATCCAGAGAGAAAGCATCTGCATTGAAAATGTACACAATCACAGAATGTTGACGACTGATTTAATAAAACCTTTCCGATAAAAAAACTTTGGCTAGACACTGAAATACTTAAAGTACACTGAATCCTTATCGATAGAAACCCCTAGGCTAAATAGTGGAATTACTTAACGTTGATTTTCGACAGAAAGTCAAACCCTTGGCTAGACAGTGAATTTCTTAACGTATGTTAAAACCTTTCCGATAGAAAACCTTGGCTAGACAGTGAATTTCTTAACGTCTATTAAAACCTTTCCGATAGAAACCCTTTGCTAGACGATGAATTTCTTAACGTCTATTAAAACTTTCCGATATAAACCCTTGGCTAGACAGTGAATTTCTTAACGTCTATTAAAACCTTTCCGATAGAACCCTTTGCTAGACAGTGAATTTCTTAACGTCTATTTAAACCTTTGCGATATAAACCCTTGTCTAGACAGTGAATTTCTTAACGTCTATTAAAACCTATTTCCGATAGAAACCCTTGGCTAGACAGTGAATATCTTAACGTCTATTAAAACCTTTCCGATAGAAACCCTTGGCTAGACGTTTTTTTAGCGTCTATTAAAACCTTTCCGATAGTAACCCTTGTCTAGACGGTGAATTTCTTAACATTTCTGATAGAATTCGCTGGCTACGTGGTTTTAAGATACATCTACCAAGAAAATACCGATGTTCCGAACAGGCTCTGGGGGTAAATACAGATGTTTCGAACAGGCTCTGGGGTAAAGATAATACCGAATTGTGAACGAAACAGTATGTCAAACCCGAAATCGATGAAACTTTGACAAAATATTTATCGAAATGGAGACCATTGAAAATGTTCTAAGAGAAAAAGAACAGATGTAAACTTCATATAAGCAAAAAGAGGCTGTTGAAAGGAAAGTTAACGCAGACAGGTTAAAGCTACATTTGTCCTGGTTTCATGATTAGATGACAATTGTTATCACACTGTGTTAAAACGTTGTTCTATTCACATTCAAATGTAATCCCACAATACAAATATGATTCAACATAAATTAATTGGAGACAGAAACAAGCGTTGATCACATGGTGATAACGTGGTGATTTGTTTATGTGAGTACGAGTCCTGTAGTGGCTGACTGTTGTGTTAAAGTGTTAAATCGTGCTCCGTCATTATCAAGTAAACGTTTTGTGATGGAAATAAAATTAAGTATGAACTTCCGTCATAGCTTAAACCACTTGACAACGTCTAGCTCACTGAAACAGACACATTTGTAAGGCAGTAATATTAACATTTAATCGCAACACAATATGACTTGAAATATATAAGTTATCTCACACTAAACGATATAGATCATAAGCTTAATATTCTTTATATTTTGTAAGATATCTCATATACATGTGCTTTGTAAGATTAGATATGTTTCAATTTATTTTACGTCTCTGAAAAAATATCTCATCAATTTATTAAATAGAATATCTCTGAACGATATCTCATTTCTATTTACTTTTTAAGACGAATCATTTATTGAATTAATATATTCAAAATATCCTTACAAAATACGACTCGTTAGGGTTGTTTACAAGCAATGTAAGTTTGATGCAATATTAATAAATTGTGTTGTTATAAGTCGCTAAGAAAAGTAATATATCATCACATGCATTATGTACATTGATTAGTAAGACAGGTCATTGAAGCAGAAATCTAGCCTGAACTTTTTAACATGGGTTTTACTAGAATCTAGCTCAATCCGCTACTTTATTTTGCAAATGTTGTAGACAATTATTTTCATGCAATTTTGATTGTTTTAAATAACAATATGACATACAATCTCAGGGATAGGATCATTCCCCTATCAATGAATTCTGTTAGCAGATATAACCATATGATAGAGAAATTGTCTATAGCTCATTAACGAGTGTAGTCCATATCTGTATATATTTACTAACGCTCGTGAATAGAATGACCTTTTCCCTTAGTCAGGTCTCAACGAGATCCCACATCACAACAAAAGGTCGATTGGTTGGTTGTAAAGTGTTTTAGTCCTATCAACAGCTAATGTCATGTAACGACATGTCTCCATGTGTGTGTGTATGTATGCCGGAGGTATGTTGGTGATCTGATGCCGGCTTTATAGTGCTATCTCACTAAAATACAATGCATTACGTCTCTGAAAAGATACGCCATTAGTTGGATTAATGAAATAAGATATCTCTTTACATTAACTGATAAGATATACCGTGTGCTTACATATAAATGTATATATATATCAGATATCTTAGATATTTAAAAAAATATCTTATATGTTCAACAACTTCATATATTTGTGAGATATCACATATAGTTTAAAATGTATATTATTCATTTTTCCCTTAAGAACTATTTTTAAGAGAATCTTACAAGAAATGACAATTCAGATAACGATATTTCGCCAAACTGTGCTATTTTCTACACGAGACACACATTATCAGAAGTAGTCTATCTAATAACACATCGATTTCGAATGCCTTATTAATCATCTTGAAAAGGAAACAAAAAACCGCCACGAAAAAATCAAGTCATATCTGATCATATTCGGTAAAAATAACGCTCCTAATGATCATCACCTCAGTTATATACGGTTAAATATAGCTGTAACGAATTTGCAGGTCCCTGTGGCAAGGACTTGTGTGTGTGACGCTGTGGGACATGTTCGTTCTGTATCATTTCCGTACCTTTCAGCACTGAATGTAGTCACAAAGGGATATAATCTTAACTTAACCCATCTCCATACAATTTTAAAATTGTTTACCAAGAACTGTATGCTGAATTCAGAGGCACATTTTGAGGCTGATACTTCAGATTTGACAATCTGAACCCCCGAGTAATGTGGGAGTAAGGTCCAGAGAAGGGGTTGCTGTGTGGCCAACCGTTTTATTAAGTGATACTATACATTGTATGCAATGAACATATGTCTATAATTATTTTGATTTCCTTATTTATTACATTGGTCATGATTATACGAAAAAGGAGTAAGAAATGGGAGAGATAAACTTGTCGGAAGAAATCATTTGATACGTCATATCTAGTCTGGAACACCTTACTCTTTCTGGATACAGGCAGGAAGACACTGATATTTCAAACTGTGTGAAACAAATATTGTTTGTTGGAACCGTGATTCAAGGTCCGACTGATTTATTATTATTATTTTGAAATTACCATAGAATTAAAAAATCGATCCGACTTTGAACTACGTACGGTTCCCGCAGCTAAAACTATTATTTTGCCTTATCCGTGTACAATTGAATACTCGTTTCTGCCGAAGCATGCGCCATTGGTTGGTTTGGCCCTCGACCATATCGATGAATACCGCATTAAAAAGGCAATCATATGTTTAGACTCTTTATCCGTCCTACAGAGTTTACAGTTACGAGATCCTAAAAACACACTCATACAAAACCTTGCTCTTCGAATATCTCGTATCTTAAATAAGTCAAAAATAACTTTACTATGGATTCCGAGCCATTTCGGAATTAAAGGCAACGAATAGNTTTTAAACCTACTATTCGTACAGCCATTCAAAATGAATGGCAGCAACGCTGGTCTCGAGAGACCACCAACAAACTTTTTAAGGTACAACCGAAACTTAAAACATCTATTCCCAGTCGGAAAGATCGTAGAGAGGAAGTTGTCCTCGTTCGGCTCCGTACTGGGCACACATATCCTACTAATTCGTACCTTTTAAAACGAGAAGATCTACCTTCATGCCACGCATGTGACACTCCATTTACAGTGGAACATTTTTTAATAGAATGTTCCGATTTTAAACACATTCGTGATAACTACTTTCGAGTCCCGGATATGAAAACTCTTTTCCTTTCCGTGGACTCGAAGGCATTATTAAAATATTTGATAGGCATCGGTCTATTTTATAGATTCTGATGTCTTTTAACCCACTTTACCCTCTTTGACGTTATATATATCACATATTCCATATCATCTATTCGTTATCTCTTTTATTATTTTAACCCCCTCTTTTATTTTTAATTATCTCAACATACAATGCGAATGGTTTTAAAATGAACCATTTTATCTGATTTTATCTTCGATACTCTGATATTTCAGTCTTATCATTTGAAGTTTGACTCTAGTTTGATTTTTTCTCATATGTGACAATATTTTTGTGATTTTTTTATATGGTGAAGTATTAATTTCAACATGTTGGTAAGCACTCATTTCCTTTTATTCAAGTAATGCTTAAAGAAAAATACACTGTCATATTTAAAGTCATGTGATAGATCTGGATCATTTCGCGAGCTCTTTTCTCAGGCCAACAACATATTTGTGCAGGAAGATGATATATTTCAGTTGTGAGTAAAACCTACTAGGTTGCCATTTTTAACTATTTCCTCATGTAGCAGTGTAAATTTTAAAGGCTTTCTTTAGACAACAAACTTTTCTCTTAATGGTAGTGGGACAAAAAGTTACCTACAATATAGAAGATTGACCAACAGCAGGAAACTGAGTTTATACAGTATTGTATTCATTATGTAAACATGTTTATTACATACATTGTTAATTACATACATATGCTTTCAGAAGGATTGGAAAACTGGTGTCTTTTTAATCTTCTTGGAGGAATTAAAGACTGCATCCTCGATACTCCAGGGGTACGTTCGAGACGCTGTCCTGGACAGCCGGGACAGACTGAACAGCTCTCGAATGCGATGGTACAGCTGTTCCTGACTGTCCAATCTCTTCCCGCCGAGGAGGTGGTGTGGCGCAGCACAGTGACGTCACAAACATGGCGACTATCGAACAGGACTCGGTAATTTTACAAGTGCTCAAAGATCAAGAGGAAAGTTCGCCCAAAAGTAATTGAAATAGATTTTTCCTATAAATTGAGACCAATTTGAACAACATAACATATATATGTGAATTTTTAGTTTTAGTGTTGTTGTTTTTTCATTTACTTTTTTAAAGAATTTGTTTTCTTGATCCCTTCACGGCTAAATGAGCTGAATAAAATAAGTTTTAAGTTGGCAACATCGATTGGACGTTTATTTTTTAATCGTCAAAAACCACCTGCCACCCTTACAGCCAGTCGAGAGTCTGCCGACGCCATATTGGATTAAGTACTTCCTGTTACGGCGCATTCGAAACGTCCTGTACCAAAGAACAGTAAGGACAGGTTCTGTACAGGCGTCTCGAACACTCCCCACTGGGTTACGTTCACTTTCGCTCTCTGCACCCCTGGGATATGTCATGACTAGTGGGGCGTCGCTCCTCTGTATAACCTAAGTATCAGCCTAATTTATGGTCAGTTTATTTTACCTGTCACCAATCAAATCGCTAGCCGCGTGTCTTCAATCTTGGTATGACATATTCCAGGGGTGTAGAGAGCGAAAGTGAGAGTAACCTCTGGATATCGAGGATGTAAGGACTGACGATAACGAGGACAACGATGAATATTGTTAATTTAATTAACAAATGAACCCATCACCTGTCTGTCATTGTACATCACTAGGAATTAATAAGTGATACATCATCTCCCACTGCAACAAGCAATTTCCAGATTCCAGAAACAAAGTGCATCCTGTTCTAACATATGCAAAAAGATAGGTTCGCCAAACTGTTCCAACTGCATCAATTCTTTGAGCCTCTCAGAAATTACCGGATGTNCACACAAGGCATAACATATATGTACCCAATATACTAGTACATAATGGTTCTGTAAAATGTTTAACGCACCAGCGGCATACGTACATAACATTAAAATAGAAATACGGATTACAGATGCATATACTTATATATTAAGTTTGTTGATGTAGATGTCGAAACAAAGTAAATAGTTTAACACCGCCCTATACGGTCATTTCATCCCTCCAACAGCGGCTGTAATCGTCGACAGATTGTTCTGATATATCTAGATAATGGGGAATAATGCCCATAAAAAACCCTTATAAAGTTTGGAATTACGTTTGGCTGTTACAGAAGATAATCGAATCTTAATAGAGTTTTCCATACTTGTCGGCATTAAACCACTCCCACCTTTCAGCGATGTACCCTAATCACATCTCTTAATGTTGTATCCAACATACCTCTGTCAACGACACATCATCTCATTCATATCTGTTCACGATAAACCCCATTCTGCTCTTTGCAAACTTACATTTGTCCCCGATAAGCCACACTCTACTCGTTCCATTTTTCTACGATACACCTCATCAGCTATATTTACGATACTCGCATTCATTACCCACAATGCACCTCTACTCACCTGTATCCCTCCTATGGTTCTGAGCCTGGCCCTGACGATGATGGTGCCACCTGGTACACAATAGGGCATGCAACAGCACTCTTCTAAACGGGAGGCGTTCTTACACTCCACAAATGGCAAACAACACAACGTCAACAGACCTGAGGAAACAAGTATTTTTCAAAAGGCAAAAGTAGGAATAGGTACATTTATCAGGTGCATTTAAACGTTTCCTCGCTGTACATATTCCACATAGTTAATAAGTTGTTACAATGAAAATATGTTGTAGAGTGACAATCCATTTAACTCACACATAGGTATGTCATCAAAGCAACCGAACAGTCCCGTGGTCCATTTTCTGTGTCCTTGAAGGCCTGTCAACATAAGTGGATTGCTGGCAGGTTCGGGCTGGGTAACAATTACGTTGGTAACGGACGTTGTCGGTTGCTGGTTGTACCGCATTTCCTGCTGCTGGATATATTTATGTTTTAATAAACGGCACATTTGTGCATAAAAATGTAAGGCACCTCGTTGCGTTACTCATAACTTTATTATCAAAGGAAGTGATGTTAGAACATAAGCTGTAAATAATGTTACTTTCGCTAAGATTTCTAGTCATTGCTCTTAATATCCTGTTGTCAAGAGTTAACACAGAAATGCCTGCGCATAGATAAAATCAACAGTTAAGGGTTATTATAAGTTGATAAACAAATACATGCTTTTGCTGATAATAAATTTATAAATACACATTTAGTATATGTAAACATTATATATATAGCATAAAAACCCAAATTACGAAGGAATGCAGTTTTTATATCGTGTTCTCTGCGGGTCACGAACTCATATTCTACGACATAAAATGTTCTGGCCCAGAAATATCCACATATATGACCATTACACCGTTGCAGCCTTCTCAAGAAAGGTTTTGAAGTTGCAATTGTCAAAGTAATTTATTGTATACAGTACAAATGTTGATCCGATGGTTTAAGATATGAACTACCTGTTGTAAATGAACTGTACTGTACCACCAAAGTTAACCGTGTAATAAGGTAATACTCTACAACATCGACAGTGAAATAAAACAAAATCTTCACTTACAACAACAGTGTTATAATGTAGTACTTCATCCACAACGACAGTGTAATAAGGTATAACATCACCAACAACGACAGTGTAATAAGGTACTATTTCACGAACAACGACATTGTAAGAAGGTATAACGTCACCCACAGCTACAGTGTAATAAGGTATAACGTCACCCACAGCTACAGTGTAATAAGGTATAACATCACCAACAACGACAGTTTAATAAGGTACTATTTCACGAACAACGACAGACTGGACATAAACACGAAGGAAACCTCTACTTCCTGATATATATGTATGTATGCACATTTTACTTCAGGTGAAATACCAATTTTTTTTTTAATTTAATACAAATTCAGTATTGTTATGCGATACACGTGTTATGGTCACAGGAGCTCACTTCGATCACAGGGTCACGTTACAAATCTCTGCAGTACACATGTGCTATGCTGATGTGGGTCACGACACACATAAACAGATGTTTATGTGGATTGTGACCCATATCAGTATGGCATATGCGTGTTACAGACATTTAAGTCACATTTATTGATAAATTAACAATAATACAGATAACTGTGACTGTCTTCAGGTTTTTTTTTTTTATTTCTTTTAATCACATATGGAATATCGAAGCGACCTCCTGTGTCCTTTTTACTTCAGATAAATCAGGCATGTGACAAATGAGTTGTGAGATAGATACAGTCTTGCGGAAATGTACAGTCAATTACCTTGCCTTTGTTCATGTATAGTATTAACGTATTGATGTTAATTCTATTTGTTTGTTTATCATCAGTGTTTAGTGTAAGAATATGTGTAGAGTATGTGATGTATATGTGTCTAGCTGATAGAAATGGAAGTGAATGTGTATGT